GATTTACTCCCCTGTACTTTAAAGAGGCAAAACATAGAAAGAAAATGAAACCAATCAGTAAAACCAAAGAAACTTGGGGAGTTTCTAAGAGTACTAAATCAGAGTCTGCTTGCAGCACGAGTGACAGACACGCGCGGTCATCTTACCGGGGTTTCCAGATAATCCCTTTTCATTACCACTGTGATGGTTTAAAAACTTCACTGTGAATCTCTGCGTGAGTATTCCTAGAAATACGCCAAAGTGAAGACGGCATCATAAGCGCGCATGAAAAGCCAGTCGGGCGGGCACGCTCCACGGGCACCGGGGCAGGCGCGGCGGGAGGCAGCACCCCCCGCAGGGCGCCGCACCTGTCTGCTGGGCACTGATTTCCGCCTGGACGATTCTGACGCTGAGTCCCGTGACTGTGTTGTTGTCCCACCTGAACACGTAATGTTCTTCCACCGTCACCTTCCTGGGGGCCAGGGAACTGCTTAGAAGCGCTTCTGCAAATACAAGAGAACTCATCCCCAGGCCTGGGAGGTGCTCGCAGCTCTCCCCATCCCACCCCATCTGCTGCCTCTCTAGCAACGACTGAAGCAGCACATACCTGTGGCGGTAAGGAACCGGCCCGGGTCAGTCGCTGCCTCGTAGGTCACCGTAGGCGGAACTGGGGCTAGAGACGCACAAACGAGCATCCTCAGGACGACACAGCCCCCAGCAGTTGCTCACCCGCTCAGAGGAGTGCGCCCTGCGGCACCCTCGGACGCCAGGCCCTCCCGGGTCTGAGTTACGTGTTTTTGAGGCCGGAGCTCAAGGTCCTCCTACCTCAGCCTCCCAAGTGCGGGGACTGCAGCCTCCTGGTGCAGCACCATGCCCACATCATAAGAACCCGAGGTTTCTCCCCCCTGCCCCCCTGGCACTGGGGAAGGGACCAGGGCCTTGCACACGTGAGGCAAGGGCTCTGCCACCCAGCTCAGAGTCCTGTCGTCGTCTTAGCACTCGATTACAACAGAACAAGAGACTTGCCGAAGGCAGTGGAAACATCCAGCCCACTGCTCTCCCCTGGGAATGCCAGGCAGCTGAAACTACGTGTTCGCACAAGAACACCTGGACACCCGTGTTCACACCAGCACGTGGACCGAACCCAGACGTGAACAGAATCCACCTGTGTCCCTCAGCAAACAAATGGATAAGCAGGATGTGGTGTCTCGCTATGGTGGAATGCTATACACCCAAGAAAAAGCCATGGCTCAGGCTGCAACCTGGGAGACTTGAAAGCAGCCAAGCGCCAGGAGTCACACAATGCCCACACATATGGAAGTGCCCAGCACAGGGACACACGTGGACCAGAGGCGGCACAGGTGGGGCAAGAGGCAGGGGGAGGGGCTATCTAGTGCACATGCGCTTACTTTGGGGTGGAGAAGGTTGGGAACTACACAGAGGGTGAGCTACTAGATGCCACCAGATTATAAACTTTAATTTGCCTCTGTAAACATTTTAATTAAAAAAAAAAAAAAGCCAGGCATAGAACTACACACTTGTAATGCCAGCCCTTTGGAAGGCTGAGCCAGGAGAATACAAGTTAGAACCCAGCCTGAGAAACTTAGCAGTTCAGCAGGAGCCTGCTCCAAAATCTGGGAGACTAGCAAATTCTGTGGCCCAGTGCCAAGACCCTGGGTTCAGTCCCCTGCATGGAAGGAAAAAAGAAGAAATGATATACAGAATGTTTCTTCCAGAAAAAGCCCTCCCCTCCCCTGTAGCTGAAATACTGCTAAGCTGAGCCCGTGAAACCGTCTGCACTCTCCCAAGCTTGTGTCCTGTCCTGACCTGCAGGCTGGTGGCCCCAAGGATGGACACAGTACCTCCAGTGGCGCTGCCCTGGACCTTGGCGGGTCCCACGCCGTCACGCTCCCAGTAGGCGTCCAGGTGAGTGGCGCAGTCAGCACCAAAGCTCTGCAGGAAGCCCACAGGGGCATCACGCACACACTGCCCGGCCAGTGACACCTGGGGAGGCACAAAGCCAGCGGGTGACGGACTGGCTTCAGATCACCACAACCAATGGGCACCTCTTCCCATCCCGTCCGCTGCCCCCAGGTTGTGGGCTCAGCTCCTGCCCTGCCTGGCTGCCCAGCTGCAGGGAGGACGCTCAGGCATGACCAGCCCAGCTCTGGGGCCCTGGGGCAGTCACACGCATGTAACATAAACAAGGGTGTCCCTCGCCCACGAGGACACCTGGTTATGCCTAATTGCATTTTCTCTCTTCATCATAACCAGATTTTTTCCCCAGGTACTGGGATTCGAACCCAGAGCCCTAAGCCTGCCTTAGGTTGTAGTCCCAAAGCCCAGATATCTTTTTTTTTTGAGACAGGATCTCACTGTATAGTCCAGGCTGGCCTGGAACTCATAGCAATCCTCCTGCCTCAGCCACATCTATAAGCCCAGCACTCAGGAGGCTGAGGCAGGAAGGATGGGAGTTCAAGTACAACCTGGGCTGCACAGCAAGACCTTGTCTCAAAAAAGGTGACCTCTCACCTTAGAAACTGGTGATTAATGGGCTGGTGAGATGGCTCAGTGGTCTAAAGCACCCACTTAGAACAAGCTAAACTTAAGCAAAGCACAGGGACCACGGTTCAATCCCCCAGCACCACATGCCAGCCAGCCCCGCCCCATGGTGGGCTGAGCTGGCCACACACAAAATAAATAAATTAAAAAAAAAAAAGAAAGAAACTGGTGATTAAACAGAAGTGAAGCATAATCATAACTTCCATGAAAATTTAGACAATCTTTTGAGTTTTACATTTCAGGTTCATTTTGGGATTTAGCAAAGACAGTGATTAATTTTATGTATTTGGGGCTGGGGAGATGGTTCAGTGGAATAAGCACTTCCCTGGCAAGCGCAAGGGCCTAAGTTCAATCCCCAGTTCCATCCAAAAAAAAAAAAAAAAAATTATGTATTTGGTACAGGGTCTCACTATGCAGCTTGGACTTGTGGTGATCCTCCTGTCTCAGCCTCGCCAGTGCTGGGATTACAGGCATGTTCCACCACACCAGGACTCGGTGGCTGGCTCAGCCTCAGCGTACCTGGGAGTGGGGCCGGCTCAGCCATGTGGTGCCAGAGCTTGAACCCCGGTCCCTGCACTTGCTGAAGCAGGTGCTTAGTCCACTGAGCTGTCTCTCCAGCCTGACAGTGATTAATTTTAAAATGACTGTTTTCTTTTTTTAAGTCTAAAAGCCATTAGCAGCTAAGACCATGGAAGCTCCGTAAGTAACTTAAAGAGAAAGGTTTAAGAGCGAGACGAGTTACACTGCCCACAGGGTAGGGGGCAATCTAAATTCAGATGCGTACCTGCGGCACAGTAAAATACACGTCCTTCTCCGTGGTCCGGATCGGGTCTCCCTGTCTGTAACCAGAGTCTGGAGAGAGTCTGGGGACAGCGCCCAGTGAGGCTTCGAAGCCAGGGCAGTGTCTCGGGGAACTGCAACCCACAAGAAAGGCCATCACGCCCAGGGCTCCCCGCCACCCCGCACCCACTCTTCCTCTACTGGGGTCGGTTCGGTTTGGTTTCGTCTTATTAGGACAAGGTCTGACTCCTTTAGGGCCCAGGAAATACCCAACGTGGGCTACGGGCTCCATACAGGGGAGCCCCGGGCACTGACCCCTCCCAGGACTCACACAGCGCCATGATAGAAGTAGCCGAGGAAGGGTGAGTTGTCGAGCGAGGACTGCACACACAGGAGGGAGAACCAGTCAGGGACGCGGCCTTCGGTCCCCTCTGTGCACAGCTGGTCGAAGGGAGGGCTGACCTCACCCCCAAACACGCCTGGGAGACAGGCGCCTCCGAACAGCTGCTTAGCGGCCCAGGAACAGTCCTGAAGGGGGTGGGGGGACACGGCCACGAGCTCACCGAGTGGCTCAGGCTGGCCTCGAACGAGCATCGATCCTCCTGCCTCAGCCTCCCTCACTCGGGGACGGCAGGTGTGCACCACCACGCCCAAATGGAAGTAGTACTTTTGTACCCAATAATCAGAAAACACGAACCTGGTCACAGCAGCAACGGACATCACAGGCCTTGGCTGTTAGGTCGCAAGGACAAGGACCAAGAGGCTGATACACCTGATTAGGGATGAGGGTCACGTTCTCTGAAAAGTGCACACAAGGGGAGACTGAGCTTCGAACTAACTGACACAGCACAGCCAGCCTGAGCTGCGCAGCGAGACCCTGCACCAAATAAATACAGGAATTTTTTTTTTTTTTTTAAAAAAAGATAATCAACTATTTGAAAATTTTTGGTTAGGGCTGGGCTATGTAGTGAGAACTTGTCTCAAAAAACCAAAATAATAATATTAATAATAATAATAATAAACTGAACATAGTAGAGCCCTCCTGTGCCAAAGGTATTGGTCCACACTGCGCTGTGAAGATCCGGAGCAGGGTTACTACGGGTCGGAGTTGGAGGTTCGTACGCCCAGCTATGCTGCCTCCCTTGGCGCCCACCATTAAGAGCTCCTAGAGGATTTTTTTTTTTTAATTCATTTTGCCCAGGGTCTCACTGTGCAGCCTGGACTCCTAGTGAGCCTCCTGTTTTCAGCCTCTCCGGTGCTGGGATTGCAGGTGTGCGCCACTCCAGGTCTCTGTGGCTGGCTCAGCCCACCAGTGTGGCATGTGGCCCCAGGGATTGAAGCCCGTCCCTGCACTTGCCTAAACAGGAGCTTAGTCCACTGAGCTATCTTACTGGCCCGGCTCCTACTAAAATTTTTTAAGCATCTATTAATCCTATTTGTTTTTAATTTTAATCAGTAATGCCTTCTGAAAAATTTTTTTTGATATTTTATTCCATTCTTTTTGAGACAGGGTCTCACATCGTTCAAACTGGCCTTGGGCTCACTACGTAGGCCAGGCTGCCCCGAGATGCTCAGCGATCCTCCTGCCGCAGCCTCCCACGTGCTGGGATTACAGGTGAGCGGCACCACACCCGGGTTACTATTTTTATTTCTTCAAAAGGTTTTTGACTGGGGAGAGAAGGGGACGTAGACAGCCTGAGGATGTGGTACGCACAGGCCTCGACTCCGCACGGGAGTGTCATGTGCTGTGCTTAGGCACCAACCAAAATTTTCTAAGATAAAATTTTTTGAAGTGAGTAATAAATGGTTGGAAAGTTTAAAAAAAAAAGTCCTCACTTGGCCAAGCCTGGGCCCCACATCATCCTCAACCTGACAGAGATTCTTTTTTTCTTTCTGGTACTGGGGATCAAACTCAGGACCTTGTGTTTTCCAGGCAGGCGCTTATGCTGCTGCGCGATCTCCCCAACCCTGGTAGCAGATTTATTCCCTTATGCAAGCAGAAACACCCCTCTCCTCGCCTCCTCTCTGACAGAGGCCTGTGCGCCACGTGGATGTCTACCTGCATCTTGGACGCTTCCCAGGAAGGCACCCGGCAGGGCACCTGGCTGCCCCAAAACACAGGCGGAGGGCTTGAGGGGAGCAGAGGGAGGAGACTGTGCCTGCGCCTCCATGAGGGGCCTTCACTGCTAATGGGGAACCCTTGCCACCCCAACCTGGTAAGGACGCGGCGAGGGCAACTGGGAAGGGGGGCACGGGGCGGCACTGATCACAGGAGACTCTCAAGGTGCCTGCTCTAGAGTTCTTGCATCTCCGAACACCACTGATCCTGTGAAAAGAATAAGCCAAAGCCGAGTCGCCACGGCCGAAGGTGTACACGCATGCACGCAGGTACTGGCTCTAGCTCGAGTATGAAGCCGAGGCGGGACCGACAGGAGGCCGTCAGGGGGAGCCGGGGGAAAGAGGCACAGCACACCCTCCTGCGGGAGCGCTATGCAGCCACCAACAAGCAGGCGGCATCACGGCCGAGGGCGCTGCTCACGGGCAGAGCTCCTGTGAAGCCCCAACTCTGATCACCAGCACCAGAAAAGAAAAAATGAGGGGAGCCTACGGAATAGTCCTGAGGTTATATTATTTTTTAAAAGATATAAAATAGTGAATCATGAATTATTGTAGGTTTAAAAAAAAAAAGGAATACATGTTTCTACAAGCATAAATTAGCAGCCTGATTCTCACAAAGGTGGCTGAAGGCAAAAAGCTGCTCTTCAAGTCTGATGGTTTTGAAGACGCTTACTCATGAAGCCTTCCTTTCCTTAAGACGTAGCCACACAAGCCAGGCGTAGTGGCGCACCCCTGTAGCCCCGTGTCCTGGAAGGCTGAGGCAGGAGGACTGCAAGTGTGAGCCCAGCCTGGGTGACTTTTGAGGCCCTATTCCTATCTGAAAATGATAAATAAATAAAAGCGTGGGAATATAACCCTTAGGAATAAAGAGGGAGGGGAGGATCAACACACAGAAGCCATCTTTGCCTTTTCTCAAAAATGACTTGAAGTGATTCATAAAAGTCACACACAGTAGGGCAAGATAAATCTTAATTACACACAAAAGTACAGGCCGGGTGTGGTGGTGCACTCCTGTAATCCCAGCACTCAGGAGGCTGAGGCAGGAGGGTCATCGTGAGTTGGAGATCAGCTTGGGCTACAGAGTGAGCTTAAGGCCAAACCTGAGCTACACAGCAAGACCTTGTCTCAAAAACACACGCGAGCGCGCGCGCACACACACACACACAGACACACACACACAAAAGAGTACAACACAGAAACTCTGAAGCACTTTTTTTTTTTTGATACCAGGAATCAAACTCACGAGCTCACATTTGCCAGGCAGGCGCTGCGTCCCTGAGCCATGTCCCAGCTCCACAAACTCTTACAAAGAAAACTAAACACAAAGGGGGAAGCTTAGGATGGCAGGGAAGACTTGCAGGGAAAGGCAAGCGCAGGTCCCAGAGGGAGAGCCGCACTTCCCCACCCCGGGAGGATGGCTGGGCCCGACGGTTTCCAACGGGACCTTACTTGCCTGATGCACCGTGCGCCAGAGAGGAGTTGGCGTACATCTCCGCCTGAACGAGGAGGTGCGCCGAGCACGCAGCGCCGCGGCGCGCTGAAACCAGCAGCGTCTGGAGCAGGCACGGAGCCTCCGCGAAGGGCTCGGTGGTCCCGTTGGAGACGCACTGCTGCGGCCGCCTCTGCAGACTCACCGTCACCTCCAACGCCCCCTGACAGGAAAACACCTCTGTGCTTTCAGGGTCCTTCAAAAGAGCGCCTCTAATTACCACCGCACCACAAGTAATGGAGGACAAATGAAAGCACACGGTCACCTTGGTCTGTTTTACAAAGGAGAACTGTACGCAACGATGTGGGAACTGTCTTCCATGTTCTATCCCGAAACTATGGGAACAGCTAGCTCTGATTCCCAAAGCAAACTGGATGGATACTCTGAGAAATACAAACTTGGATCTAGGAAATTAACTGGACTTGTCTGTGTAATGCTTGATACACTGTGTCACCTTGAGAAGTTCTGAAGTTTAATTAAGTGACTCAGCAGAGAGCCAGGATTCTTAAGTTTATAAACATCCCCACCCTGTACAAGAGGAGGCAGGACGTTGTCTGAGTGCTATACTCCCAGCCCAGGGTAGACTGTTTCTAATACAAGGAGGGGAGAGAGGCTGGCTAGAGGCCGCAGCTGCTGCCCTCCCTTTGCTCCTCGCTGCTTTCGGCTGCCATGAACTGCTGCCCTCTGCCAAGAGCCGCTCTGCTGGGAGCCAGCCAAATATGACGAAAACCTGCACAAACTGTGGGCTAAATAAACCTTTCCTTTCTCCATTTTGGGTGTCAGATATTTTGTCCCAACGAGTACAAAGTAACTGAGACAGTCTGGAACCTTTTAATTATTTCGGTTTTATTTATTTAGGAGTGCTGAGGATCAAGCCCGGTCTGCCCATGCAAGATAAGCACACTGTCACTGAGCTACCCCACACTGTCCGTTTGAACCCTGTATGCTATGCTGCTCTCCCACTAGCCGAAGCTTTGGTTTTTGTTTTGTCTTTGCTACAGGGAGTCTCTCTGTAGCAGTGCTAGCTGCCCTTCAGCTCACAGTGTAGCCCAGTCTAACCTCAAACTCAGAGATCCTCTTGCCTCGGCCTCCAAGGTGCAGGGATGACAGGTCTAGCTACGTCACCATGCCCAGCTCCTAGCAGGAGTCAATGGAAACGATCCCCAATTTCCTTCAGAAGGCCTGATACATTCAGTTTCCCAGCAAAGGCTCTCTTTTCATCCGAGTATCTCGAGTCGATGCGGGGCACACACAACAAGCACTCGTCCGTAGAAAACATTTAGTCTCCCCAGGAGTTGCATGTCCCACACGCGAACTTGGAGTAGGGTTAGATCAGTAGCTTTTATTTTTTATTTATTTAAATGTATTTGGTACACAGTCTACAGGGTCTCACTAGGTAGATCAGACTCATAATGATTTTCCTGTTTTCAACCTCCCAAGTGCTGAGATTACAGGTGTGCACCACCATGTCCAATCTCAATCCCCGACCTCCTGGGGGGGGGGGCATGGCACACCGGGGCCTTTGTGTTCCACCTAAGCAGGCACTTTAGTCCACT